TGTTGTTTACGAAAGGACAAAAAGCAGATGTCTGGCTCTTTAACCGGGTTAGCGGACACGAAGTGTCCACCTAGGGGAGTTAGAAAACCCTGATTTAAAATCGATGGTGCACATGGGCTCCATTATCTTGAGGGAACCAATTACGTATTAACCTATTGTTGGTCACCGGTTACCATTGGACTGCATCTCCTTACGTTGCTCCACTGCCTTCTGGGTCAGATATCTAGGTCGAAGGCTCCGGGTGCGACCCCCCCAAGAAAAACCACCTGCTTCGGTCTGGGGACACAAGGAGTGCCCCAGCCCTCATACAAATCGAATAATTTATGTGGCGCTTATCTATTCTGTTCCTCCTTGTATATGTATATATTCTTACATCATGAACTGGTTTCAGTTAGATAACTTAACAATTAAGAAACATTCTATTCTTCAGAACTTTTCATCCATAACACACTCATTGATCGAACCTAGAACTTCAAGTAATCGTGCCGGTTGTTGAGTTAGTAAGGCTTTCTGAATTCTGGTTCCCGTTTCTTCTGTCGTATGACGGAGGTGGGGTTATTCTTGATGTATGTTGTATGTATTAGCGACCAGGTTTATTTAGTTCGTATACATCTCATTTCATATTCGAAGAATCTTACAATCATATGTAATTATTAAGAATTACATTAAATTATTATTTGACAATAGAATAATTTACTTCAAATTGAAGTACTGATCAGTAGTATTCATGAAATACTGGTGTTTCTTTTTCATTTAATTTATTTCCATCATGACATGCCACTAAGGCGTATTTGTGTGTGTGTTATGTCGATGACTGTCATTTACATTAATTTTAATTTCAGTTCTCTCCTTATCAACTTATCATATTTAATGATCATACAAATTTAAATCTTTATTTCATTTGTGTAATATTGACATTAAGTTGTTTAGTAAACGCTGAAAGTAATTAAATCTTTCTCCCGAAGGCCACTTGACAAGCAGTAGTACTCGTAGTAGTAGTCAATGTTTGCTTTTCGTTAAATTTCTTTCCTCTAGAAAAGATGGATTGTGGTTAGCGTTCATATACAAATATAATTCACTTGAAGGAGATTATATCCATGAAAACGTCCAACAACTCGTCATACTAACCATCATTTTTATTCATTTTAATACTAATTTGATAGAAAGCATGATGATGTTGAAAATGGGATTAAACTAGTTGAGAATAAATAAATGTAGTATATAATGAAGTTAGAAATGTTTGTAGTTACGGTAGACCTGTCGATTATCGTTTGCTTCGTTTATTATTATTGTTGTGATTATTTTTTGTCTAGTATTTGTTTTCTTTCATCTGCATTTTTTGTTTTGCATATTGTGGTTACATCACATCTGTTTACTGTCTTGTTTCTTTTTTTGGGCAGAGGTCTAGTATGATTTGTCTTCGGTGACTCAGTTTTTCATTTACACTATACTCTATCTGGTGCATGTACATGCACACTGGTATAAAGTTGTTTACATTTTTTTCGGTAGACCTGAAGTTGTTCTATGTTAGGTGGTCGGAGGATCTATGTTCATAGTAGTTGGCACTCGTCAGCAGGATCTGCTTGTAATATCGAGGGAATTGTTGTTTTGAGCCTGTAGAATTCGAATCCGCGCCACCTAGTCCCACAGTCTTAAACGTCATCATATTGAACTATTCAGGCTGCAACTGACCACATATCGGACTGAGATGTGTTTACAAATGATTGATCTCTGAGTATTGAAAAACGTAGTGCTCACTTAGTCCTTTAAGGACTGATCGGATTCCTGTGGATTACCTTCAACTATCTAACATCTCGACACAGTACATTTTATGTCGATTCAATTAGATTAGTGACCTGAACATTACATCCTGATCGAAACGACTAGAAAAACATGACATTATTCACTCACTACTTTACTGTAACCAATTAATTGCTGTTCTCATCATATGCTTAATGTACTTGATAAATTTTATTATATTGACCGAGTGCTTTAATTTCTTTAATTATACTGTTAAATAATGATAAGTTTAAATTTGCAAAAATTAAATTAACCTTCTGATGAGTATGCAATTATATATCTTGTTGTGCTAGATTTCTAGAAGTTCTATTTTCCGATTGATTTCGCCATGTAAAGTGATACACTGGAACGAAACTTAATACTTACTTTTTTTGTTAAGATAAATCTCGTTGAATAAGATTTGCCAGATATTTTTGAAGGCATATTTCTTACTAAAACGCAACATAGGATGAATTCGTCGAAAAATTATTTTTTTAGAATAAAGATTATGCCGTCTCGTCAATTACATTTTATGTAAACTCTTTAATAAGTGAGATTTTAGATTATTATTATTATTATTCTTATTTAATACTTAAGTATTACATAACGTAATAGCATGATAGTTAACGTCATGAATGTGAATTAGTCATACATTGTGTGAAATAGCATTAGTTGATTGTCCCACTTCACTGCTAATTGACTGAATTTAGAAATGTGTTCATTTTGGCCTTGGATTTCTGCTAGTTGTGATATAACCAAACCTCTAAGTTTCACACTTTGTTTGATCATGAGTATGCACTTCTTGAGGGTAGTCTCAAACCATCTCTTCAATGCCCTCTGATGATCATTGATTGCAATCGATGACGAGAACTGTTATTAAATGAAAATAATCTACACCAATAATTCAATTAAATAAAGCCTAATTTTCATGCGAATATTTCAGTGGTTGAAGTGTTCGATTCTCAGTCGCTGAGTCCCAAATTCCATACTTTATTTATTGTCATATTCCATAAAGGAGGTATTGACGTTTTTGCATTATTTTAACTTCTGCTTATTTTCGGGTATTGTCTAATCCTTCATATTTTTACTTATATTTTATTTATTCTATTAGCCTTTTGTATTTATTTATACATACCACTTCCAAAATGTGTCAATTTGAATAAATCCAATTATTTTTTGAGAATTAAAAAATTTTCACTTCATGATAAGATTTATTGCTGACCCAAAGAACAATTTCAAATAGCGGGTCATCTAAAGAGGGCAATAGTTGAGTTGAATAGCAGCAATTCATCGTCATCATTTCCAATCGTTATATATATGATACGAAGTCGATTTTGTAATAAAATACCATTGTGCCATCATCATTACCAATGTTTTCATGTTGTTACTATTCACATTCGAATTAATAAATAATCTATTTATACAAACATGACCATGTTAACTTTATATTCACTAATAAATATCTGTTTGTGTGATTTTTAACATAGTGATTTTATTATGAGTGAGTTATCAATTCCAACATCAGTACTCTAATTTACATGTTTACACTTATAACCTTTTATTTACATGTTTTATTACTCTCTCTCTCTCTCTATTACAAAATTATTCTAATCTGAACATTGAAACCATTGGGTCTCTGGTCAGTGATCTAAAAGTTAAGCGCATACATTCATTTCGTTCTTTTCTTTCTATTCCTCCGAGTTCTTCACCTAATTACTCCATATTGCTTCATTCGTTTCTACTAACACTTTTTTTCGATAATCACGGAATTTTTTCCTTTATCACTCTATTATTCTTATCCGTGTTATCAGTATCATTTTAATCTGATATGCGAAATCTCATCGTTAAGTTTTAAAGGAATAATTTTAAATACTTCCAGTGTATTGAAAACAACTTAACGAATTACTACAGATAAAATCCATTTGATTGGAGTCAGTTTACTACAACATTTAATAAATTATTGCATTATAGAGAGTGCAAATTGTTTCATTCAGTCCATCTGACATTCCAGTCCATATCAACAATCAATCGCGATGATATTTTGTAATATTGTATTTTCTGGTTATTAGCTAATACGCCATTTCAGATTGCGTATTTCACTGTATGTGGAACTTATCAGTTGATTCTACTTTTGCATTTCAATTTCTATAAGCATACTCGTATTTAGGACTCATTACACTCATCATTGAACATTAGATCTTTATTCACCTAGTAAATAATTACTATAGATACTCAATAGCCACTAACTTGTTTAATGGGTATTTTCTTATAGGGATGTATAATTCCCTATTGTTAATATCCTATTGTAAATCACTATCATAATAAATACAATGAATTTATAGCTTCTGACATCATTAAGATAATCGTTGATAAAGCATTTATAGATATATATACACCTAAATTCAAATGCAGGGGAAGACAGCCAGTGTAGCAGCAGTAGGGCTCAACATACACAAGGGAGAAAACAAGATTCTCAAATAAAACACGAGGAACACCAAACCAATCACACTCGACGGGGAAACTCTGGAACAAGTGGAATCTTTCACGTACCTGGACAACATCATTGATGAACATAGAGAATCTTATGCAAACGTAAAGGAGAGGATTAGCAATGCAGGAGCAGCATTCCTAAAGTTTAAGGACATATGGAACTCAAAACAACGGTCAACCAATATTAAAATGACGATTTTCAATACGAACGTCAAGACAGTCCTGCTGTACGGAGATGAAATTCGGAGAACTACAACAACCATCATCAAAAATGTACGAGTATTTCTAAACAGTTGTCTACGTAAGATACTCAATATCCGTTGTCCATATACTATCAGCAACAGCCTATTGTGAGAGAAAAGAAATCAGCTTACAGCTGGAGAGAAAATCGGGAAAAGACGTTGGAGGTAGATAGGATATACATTACGGAAATAATCAAACTGCATCACAACTTGGAATCCCGAAGGTAAAAGAAGGAATAGAAGACCAAGGAGCACTTTGAGTTGGAATTTGAAAGCAGATATAGAAAAAATGAACAGCAACTGGAAAGGATCACTCAGGACAGAGTTCGATGGAAAATGTTGGTAGGCGACCTATGCTCCTCTATACATGATAACAGGCGTAAGTGAATTGATTCATCTAAATTATTAACAAAACAAGTCAATTACTAAAGGTGTAAAATAATGATTTTTGCATACATTGCATAATGTTTGCTATTATTTGTTCTTTAGTCGATTGAAAGAAGTGAACCGCAAATTGAAACAGAAACATTTCATGATGAAAATGGTAAAATGTTCAAACGTACTGTTAAACGTTCTGAAGTGACTACTACAAAAACTGTTAGTGAACGTATTATTGCAAGTACTGCAGGTCAAATTGTTCATGTAAGTTCTTATTTGTCTTTTGATTTTTTTAACTGTGAATAAACATAGTAATCGTGTGAAGAACTTAATGAACAGTTTGTGAGTGACGATTTTTATTCTCGTAGAAGGCAAATGACCCAACTCCTTCCGACCAAGCGTGACTCAATATTTATACTAATTTTAATAGTTCAGATCATGAGTCAATTGAAGCTAGACCACCATAAAAAACCTGGAAGCACTGGACGGCCGTTTCATCCTGTTGTGGGACTCTTCAGCAGTGACTCATGATCTCTCAATTCTTAAGATTACTATAATATCCACAAAAAACCCTTTCTGATATCAATAATTGTAGCCAGACAAAAATAATCTTAAGACGTACCGGATAGGAACAGCGATACATATACATACGTTCATATTAAAACAGTCAAGGTCATGAGCGAATAATTGACGTGGTCAAAATATTGCTCAAGGAGGATAAATATGTCAGTCTATCTGGAAGCTAGAAGAATTCATGTGGACTTTATATAGTACTAGACAGTACTGTTCTCCTATGGCTCATATTCATTATTGTATACAATGAACTTGCGACTAAAGCCAATCTTGAAACACTCGTTGGTGGGACTTCCTATATACATATATACATTTAAACCATTTCCATTTGGTTACTAAGGTGATTGCGCAACAAACCTCTATTCTAATTATAGGTAATGCATGGAACTAATCGAAATTAGTTATAAGTGTTACATTAATGAGCGTTAAAATGGTCAACCGCTTAACCACACATTTGAATAATTTGCCAAAATTTATGTATAATAATAATAACAACAACAACACAATCTTGGCAAATAAGTAAAAAATATCTCTCACCATGTAAAATTTAACTACTGGTGTTGTAGAATAACAAATTTCCTATAAGTAAAAGCCAAGATTAATAATATACAGTTCCCATCGAATTTCGAAGTATTTTAATCAATGTTTATTTTGCATGTTTTTATTTTAAACTCTGAATAATAATAATAACTATGGTGACTATTTACACTGGTCGGATTACTGCTGGTTATCAATCCAGTTCTTAAGTGAACAATGAAACTGTCAAAATTAAACCACTTAGTATGGAACATTCGTTGAAATTTGGTGGAATAGTTTTTGATAGAAATTAGGCACCAAGTTTATAGAGGATATTATTTACACAAAATGATGTTTTGAATAATCTGAGCGATTTATATTCATATAATTCTAACTCCTTCAAGCTTCTTCTACAAGGGAAATAATCACTAAAATAATAGTAGAAATTTTATAGTTTATATCACAAACAGATCCTACCCACATTTTAGATCTTATTTCTTTTTACTTCATCGACTTATATTTTCGATACCTAATTTTTTCTGTTACCACCTCTATCACTGGGAATTTCTTTTCGCTGTGCTAATGAAGTATAGCAACCTGAACCGATGTACACACATACAAGATTGTACGTTGTATTTGACTGATTGATATAGCTAAAAACACTGTTGATCTTTGTTCAATATTCCAACGATTACAAATGTTCAGTAGTCATAGTTGTCAAAACTTGCTTAAACTATTTAGAAACAAGAAATGTTTGGGCGAACAGTTGTTTTGTCATAAATTCACCATCATATGTGAGAGGCTCTAAAATTTTCAATATATAATTATTGTTATTCAAATGGTCTAAATTCAAATGCAGGTGAAGACAGGCAGTGTAGCAGCAGTAGGGCTCAACATACGCAAGGGAGAAAACAAGATTCTCAAATAAAACACGAGGAACACCAAACCAATCACACTTGATGGGGAAACTCTGGAACAAGTGGAATCTTTCACGTACCTGGACAACATCATCGATGAACAAAGAGAATCTGATAGTAGTAGTCTAGTTGAATATGCCTGTTTTGAGATAGAGCAATTTGTTTTTGTCGAATTGATCCTGCTAGTTTCAACAAAGTTAGGGTGGTTTGATCTTACCCCGTTCTCTAGATTATTTCAAATCGAGTCTATAACCAACAACTAGGCTTCTATTTTGATTGTGTACAGTGTTGTACAATTTCACAACAATCTATTCCATGTGATTGAGGTGTATAAAAGAATTAAATTGATAGTTGAACAACTGATTACACGATTGTAATTTTCTCTATGAACATGTAATTATTACCGGATTTTCTTCTGGTTAATTAATAAAAACAAGTAATATGTAGTTGTAGATAATGCTAGGTGCGATTCTGAATAAATTTCAAACTACCAATTTAATGATAAATGCATTCAGATCTGAGTGTATTTATAAATTCCGTGGATTTGGTTTGCAAAATAAAATTAGTTTCTAAGGTTCTTTGTTTCTAGTGAGATGAAGGGATGTTTTGCGTAGTTTTTAACTGGAATATTCATATTTTCAACTGAATTGATCAGTTTCTTTCTATCGGTATATTATATTTTAGTTGTGAACGGTTGTCTCAACATATAAGTTGTTTAGGTTTTGGATATTATTAGTTGGCAATATGATCGAAGAAGTGCATTTCTCATTGATTTACTTACTATGTTTTATTCCAAACCTACGAATACTAAAATGGAGTTATGTCTCCAGCTGACAAGTCCCAAATACAATATAATACTCATCTTGACATTCATTGCTAATCAGTACCCCCAAACATGGTTTTTTTAAAAATGTTTTTCAGTGTAAAATATGTCATGGGTTAGAAATGCAATTCGCTGCTCGTTCTGCTTCCTATTTGGTACTCGTCAATTAGGTCTACCTCCTTTTCACTGTTGATGTTCGAAATAGGACTCAAATTCCCTACATTTCACTCTAAACACCGTTATTCACTTAAATTCTTAGTCCAGATAGACGCTAACTTGTATAACGCTTATGGTATTCCTATCATTATTGGTAAGGTTTTGAACTATTTCATTACAGACATATAAGAATAATAAATTTTTTCTCTCTTTGTCGACAATGTACATTCCATACAAAATACCCTGATATTACTATTTTATTACAAGACTTTTCTAACAGAATAGATGAATTGTGACTAGCAGTGGAATTGAGAACACACGCTTCGTGTCATCTGTGACTCATTACTTGAATGATACCTACATACTATCCTTGGTACATATTAGGCCTCGCAGGGAATCCGAACAGAATACACATATACACCAACAAAGACTGTTCAAACTTTAGTCTTGAATATCAACGACAGGGTAATTACCAGCTCTTCCCGACAATCGTAATACTTTATAGTTTAAGAATTGTGCTATTACTATCCAGAGTTTATTTACCTCATCACATATATAATTTCATTTCCATGTTGTAATTACTTTTTTTCTATTAACTGTTCTGTTTTATCTTTAACAGACTAATGGACATTCTATATCTGGTAATGATTTTGATGAAGTGAGTTGTTAATTTAAATATAAAAAATTGGGAAGAAAAATCTTAATTGGTTTTTTCTCTGTTTATTCTTATTTCCATAAAACAGTAATTACAACACAGTGTTTATGTGTGTATATACTTTGTCATTGTAATATAAATTTCATTTCTCTTAAGTTATACAATAATTCAGTGAGATATCTGTATTTAACAAACTCTTGAATTAAAAAAAGTAAGTTACATAGTTTCAAGGTTTTACAAATATTTACATGGTCAAATAATGTTTTCGTGATTGTCATTCGACTATCCAACACCTCACTGCGCCTTCGGCAAATATCTATTTTCATGTAATCAAATAAGCAGTAGGTGTTTTATCTTTTTTGTATATTCTCATTTCGTAGTGGTAAACAACAGATTGATACACACATACTGATGTATATCAACTACTTTTTATTCTTATATGGTTTACATCACGGACTTAATATTAGCTAGACAACCACTGAAAACCACGAAGCATAGAATATTTGTTTTGTCTTAGCTGTGTGGATCTACAACCCCATCGGGGTTCAAATCCACGACTTATAGGTTTCGCTGTGAGCACTGATGAGATGAGATAGAGAAAGAAGGGAGGGAGTATAATCTTGAACAAATAAATGAATAAAAATAGGTGGATGAGTGTTATATAATAAGAGAAACAAATTAGTTCAGCCTGTTCACCTTTTATGAATAATATCGAAGAAAATTACAACAGACCATCACTAACTTCTGCTTTGAGTCATATCTGATAGTAATCAGGGATTGGAGATAAACCAACGGATACCAGTCTCATACAGTTTTCGTTCATACCTTGGCACTATTTCATAAGCTGACAATCTCTGCCTTTTCTAAACAGTCCCAGCGTCAGAAATTAAAGAACTATTTGGAAGTTGTTGAAATAACATTTTTAACACATATATGAGCACCGGCATTATTAACAAAGTGGCCCCCCTAAATGTTAGCAATTCTTCAGTGACAAAGATAATTGATCGCCATAGTCACCGAATATAGTGTAATCATTGGAAATATAAAGCAACCAAATCAGAATGTGTTATCAGTCCATGAAGTTCAGTATTCGAATACTTCATGTAACGTGGCTCAGAGTCGATCACGATGAAACAGAAGCATTTAATCTTGATCTTTCTCCACGTCTTCAATTCCAATATTTTTTAAATACACAACTTTTCATTCTGTCTTTTCGAACCATAACCTCAATGGCTGATGTTTCCCATTACCATTGTTGCTATAACCGAAGCTCGTCATCACCCATGCAAAATTACTAGGTCCGTGTACACCCCCTAGAGGGTTTACATTTCATTGATCCAATTGATATTTATGTCTCAAGTTAATACAATGATCCATGTTTGAATTGTATTCCTGTCGATTAAATTCCAGTCTTTTCCCTCTCAATCGTTTTCTTTTATAAAACCAGTTCGTTTGTCCAATGTTCTTTCATTAAGCCGGTTGTTTTCTGTTTTTGTCTACTTCCATAGGATTTAAATATGGCGTTGTTAACCGTCACTAAATTGGATCCAGATATTTCAGTATTAAATAATCCTGTCGGACAAGTGGAGATTAGAACCAAACCAGAAAGTGTTCTTTAAAAACGTAGAGATAGTAGTATTCAATAACTGCTTTTCGTTTATATATATGATACAACTAGCTACTCACATTTATTCATTCTTCGATCAATCAATTCATTCATTGATTCATCTAATTATTCAGTGACAATTCTATTCCTAACTGTCTCTTCATCCCATTCATTATCTAACTCACCCTCGCCTCAATTAAATTATATTATTGTTGTTCATTACGTAATTGGGTTTTTGTTTTTCGTCAGTTGATAAGATTATTTTTCAGTTTACTACTGCTACAACTATGTTTCTTATCGGCTTTTCCGTTTACATTTGCCTTATTTGATAATACTTTCTTCTTTTTATATTCTTGGTTATTTTTCTTTTTTTAGTGTGTCGGTGTTTCTGTTGTATTCATATATCTTCATGATTGTTACCACTATCACCATTAGTATCCCTAATACACCAGGAGGAAGTATTATATCATTGTGTATTTAATACTTAAATCCTTGTCTATACGTATGTATGCTTGTTAGTAAATAAGTTATGTGGTGTCACACTTTTCACTAGCAAGCACACACACGTACATACAAGCATTTACGTGTAAAATGCTTAATGATATAATACTTCCTCATGGTGTGATAATGGCAACAATCATGAAGATATGTGAACAACGGATATATATATATATATATATATATATATATATATATATATATATATATAACGTTGCCTTAGCTTATGCCTGATCATCCACACTTGTTCCCTCTTGTGTATTACTCCCTACGTCGCATTTTTCCATTTTCTCCTTTATGAATAGAATTTACTACAGTCATATAAAAGCAATAATTTTGTTCCTTTGCTTTTGTGTGTAACAAGAATACGATTTCATAATGAACCGGTAAGTATCGTTCAGTATTATTATTATGAGCTCAGTGTCTAGACACTTGTTCAGTTAGTGATTATCGACCTATTATCAAGAAAAAATAAGACAATTTACCCAAATAGATACCCATATAAAGATCAATGTAGGGCTTTTAGAGGCCGTCAGATGTTGAAGTCACCAGTTGACCTAAGTTAAATATCTATTGAAGGCCTCTGGAAGCACTGGACATCTGTTTCGTTGTACTATGGGGTCGCTCAGTATAGTGTGTATTTATACCACATCGTAGGGGATCGAACCCAGGACCTTTGGTTTCGCGCGCGAACTCTCTCCATATATATATATATATATATATATATATATATATATATATATATATATATATATATATATATATATATATAAATCAGCTAAGCAGATTATATACCGATAAAATTACCACAGCTAACTGGTGAACTGAGTTCATGTCTTTATCTAGAGGATTCAGTTTGATACAGTAAAATCAGCTTAGACAACGAATAAAATAAGCTATAAACAGACTTTTACTTAGACGAAACACACAAAAATTTACAAGCACAGATTTAACAAGGACGTGAAGGAAAATGACTCGTTAGTCATATGGTGTCTAAATTATTAGTAGTTGGTCAAAAGTTAGAACAAATTCGCATAGGTTTGCATGGCACAGTTACTACCTCCTGAATGACTGGTTCATAATAGAATGAAACCCACCTTGTAGGCAGTCGGGAAACCAGAACTGACCGCTTACCTTACATGATCATCTTATTCACGATGAAATCACTTTGTCATGTCTTTATATTTCTTCCTGTCGCCACTAATCAACTGACTGATTCCCTAATCACTACTAGCCACAATCTGAAGCATACAATGCTATATTCAATCATATATATATATATAAAAGGAATTACTGACTTAGCTTTTTTCTCTCAAACTTTCATTTAGGTGTTTATATGTATTTTTCATGGAATATTTCAATTGTTCAATACACTCATTCTTCATATACTCTTTTGGATTATAAAATGAATAAATCAATGAATGAGTAAAACAATTTCTGTTTTTTAATTCATAATTAATAATACGGGGAAATACAATACCATTTTGTTGTCTTCAGCGAAAAGAATACAATCCAATATATTCAAGTAGTCAAATCGTAATTATTATTATTATTTGTATAGTGATGCTGATTTATGAATATGTAACATATTTATTTACTGTTGATTGACCTGACTATTATTATTACTACTCATGAACTACTTAAAACTAATCATCTTCCATCGTACTTTGATTATATGGTTAGTTGTTTTATAATATATATATATATATAGATTGCTTAACTATATACATTCAGACCATGGCAAATCATATTATATTCGCTCCTTTTTTATGTACATGTATGTATGTACATGCAAGCAGTGATTTTTCTAGTCATTACAATATTATGTTACACTAATAATCCGTTCTATGTGGTTGTTGTTGTCGTTCATATTATGATCTTTTACATGCTCTTGTGAATTAGCACTGCTGTCGTCTTCCTGACTTACTTACTACACCTTGCCTACTGCCTACTCATTTCTCATCACTATTCATCATTGTTGAATAAAGTCATTAATAATAATAATCATCTCATATATATATATATATATATATATATATATATATATATATATATATATATATATATATATATATCATCTACAGTACGACAACAATAAATAGTGTTTTCGATAATCCTCTTCCATTTTCTGCACTACAATTCGAAGATTGACATTTAATGTTTCTTGTCGTCTAAATAATAAGGATAATATTGTTGTTTTGCACAGTGAATAAACCGATTGTCCCATCTCCTTGTTTATTTGTTTGTAGGTGTGTGTTAGTGTTTTTCGTAATTTGATTCGCACTGCTATCTCCCTTATCATATTGTAACACCTGTTGATGACATATGGCTTTATGATGGTGATGATGATTACTTCGTGTATCGTTTTGCTCTTTTTTTTGTGTATCCAAATACGTTCTGTATTGTTCAGATATATTGCCTTTTTTAAATAATAAAGCAAACAATAATTTTGCATGCGGTGAGGAATTCGGACCTCAGTCACAAGCAATTTCGAGTCTAATATATCAGTGTCAGTAGTAGTAAAATTATCGCTGATAGTAGGAAACATAATATTATTCGTGAATAAAGGATACGCTATCAGGATAAAATAGTATAAAATTATTTTAAGGAAAGACCAAGACTAGATACATCTGCATCATTGCAATCTATGCTAAGGGATCTCACCTGATGTCTCAAACCATTAATCATAATAATCTCACGGACCCCAATCAAGTAATCTGTGCCTATCAGTATAGCTCAGTTCAATAGTTGATAACTTCATAGTCTAATGTCAAGCTTTGGTATGGTTGCTCCTAGCTCTTTTTCAACCTAGACTAGTCAACATCGTGAATCGAGGTAATCAGTGGTTGGGATATTTAATTGTGTGCCAACCAATTTAATAGATGAAGATTGATAATCTTGTCAACCAATCCGCCAACCTCAGCATTCTTTACTCAACGGTCACAACATTAGTAAGTAATGCTTCAGAAAAATCTATATGCAAATAGTCGTAACGTATGAATATACTTTATTTTTAGTTGGAAATTGAACAAACACAGCAAGTTAGTTTATTATTTGAAATTCTCATTATTCTTTATAGATAAAATTTTAACCAAATTCATTTACAACTTGAAATTTAGGTTATAAGGAATTTGGTGTTTCATTTACAGAATTTGTGGTAACTAGATGTTTTCCCGTTTACTTTTATTTATTTATTTGGTACAAGAGAGCGCCGATATATATGCGCCACACAGAACAATGAGAATTCGAAGAGGAATACGAAGAGAGAGAAAAAAGCTAAGTAGCGCAAAAAAGAACAATAACGAAGAGATTGGTGTAAGGTAATGTGCTAGTAATCAGGGAACGCAAAGGTGCAATCGGAAGAAATCTTTCAAGTAAAGGAGACACAACCACTTTTTATGAAGAAAGTAAAAGTAGGTTACAGCAGGATCGCCACTGGCTTCTATTCTGAGCCATATCTGATAACGCCTCTAGCCACTGTGTAGCACCATCTCTCAGACCCCAACCAGGGAGTCGTGAAGAACCAACACAAGCCAGTCCTTTGCAGCTTTCTTTCATGCCACGACACCATGTCATGCACTGACCACCTCTCCGCTTCTTCCAACCAGTCTCAGAGTCGGCAAATAATGCACGACGTGGAATTCTCTGGGACGACATTCGGAGAACATGTCCAAGCCACCGAAGTCGGTGTTTCAAGGTGGTAACACCAATTGAATTATCATCTCTGTGCCCGAACACACGATGCCGAGCCTCTGCATTACTGACATGGTGTTGCCACTGAATGTCAGCAATCCTTCGGAGACAGCGATGATCGAACACAGAGAGTTATCTAACGTCCTCAACTCGGAGAGGCCAGGTTTCACAAGCATAGAGCAAAACTGCTCTCACTGATGCGTTGTAGATCTGATCTTTTACAGCCAGACTGACATCACGAAGGCGCCAAAGATGGCCCAGATTGGCATAAGCAGCTCTGGCTTTCACTATGTGTGCATTGATCTCATCACTCACACCCCCACCAGCACTTATGCAGCTACCCAGATACACGAACTTCTCGACTACGTCTATCTGCTCACCATCCAGGGTGAGTACAGGATTGGAATCCTGCCAGTCTTGTAGAAGTACTTTGCACTTCGAATGTGCAAAGCACATACCATAACTACGGACACTGATTGCCAACTGACTAAGTGCGGATTACATGGCTTGGGCATTATCGCACGGTAAGACAATATCGCCCGCATACTCAAGGTCGAGAAGTCTTTCTTCAGGCAACAGATCCACACCACCATTGCTTACATTCATCAGAGCTGTTTCCAGAATGTCATCGATGGCAAAGTTGAAGAGGAATGGTGAGATTGGGCAACCCTGCCTAACCCCACTACTCGAATGGAACAATGGAGAGAGGTGGTTGTATGCCCTCACTCTACCTGAGGTGTTTTTATATAGGGCCTTCAGGATGTTAATAAACTTCTCAGGCACACCCTTCTTCAATAGACAATCACAGAGAACAGTCCTGTCTAACGAATCGAAGGCAGCCCTGATGTCAAGGAACACTATGATTGTTGGCCTGTGATAAGTATGACGATGTTCTAACGTTTGGTGGAGGGTGAAGAAATGATCAATACATCCTCAACCAGAAAGAAAACCGAACTGCTCCTCGCGAGTCAATCTTTCTCGGGTTTTGAACAACCTACGAAGCATGACGAAAGCCGATAGTTCGGACGCAATTGGAAGTAGACTTATCCCCCGATAGTTGTTGCAGGTACGACGTGAACCCTTTTTAAAGATAGGGACGACCATCGACTCATTCCATGACGTTGGTACACTCTAGTTCCCATACCTTTGGAAAAAAAACGTCGTCAGTTCCTTAGTCAGAAAATCACCACCATCTTTAAAAAGAGCCGGAGGTAAGTCATCTGTGCCAGGTGATTTGTAGCGTTTCAAGAGTTGGAGTTCATTGCGGACTTCCGCCTCATTTGGTCGATCAGTTGTCACCGGCCATGGAGAGCAGCACAGTCCGACCGATGTCACCGGAGCAGCAGGCCAGCTGAACTGCCCTTCGAAGAATTCTGCCCATCGTCCAAGACGTCGAGGGATGTTAGTGATTGGCATCCCATCATCCTCGCAGATTGTTTCACTCACACCAGACTTCTTGCTGCCAGTGGCTCGGATGAGTTGGAAGAGCTTCCGGTAGCTACCAGATGCAGCTGCTGC